GCTGAGTTCAGATACCTTTCAGAGCAAGTGCTCTTACCCACTCAATCACCTCTCTGTTACCACTCCAACTTTTTTATTTTTACTTATGACTTTGTGTGTATATTATGTATATGAGTATATGTCACATCCATGAAGGCTCCTTGGAGCACAACAGGGCATCAGATGGTCTGGGACTGGAGTTACAGGCAGTTGTGAGCCACCCAACATAGCTATGGAAACCAAACTCGAATCCTCTAGAAGATCAGCAAGTACGTGTAACAGCTGAGCCATCTGTCCAGTGTGCCCCCTTCCCTCTCTAATTTTTTTTCTTATTTTTGTTCTTTCTGAGACAGGGTCACTCTGTAACCCCAGCTGGCCTGGAACTCACTATATAGACCAGGCTGGCCTCAAACTCACAGAGATTCACCTGCCTCTGCCTCCCCTAGTACTGGGATTAAAGGCGTGTGCCACGATGCCCAGGCTTCTGGCTCGTTTTTTTTTTTTTTTAATTAAATCTATTTAATTGTGTGTTTGAGGGTACATACATGTGTGTCTATAGCAGCACGTGGAGGTCAGAGGACAACTTGCTGGGGTTTGTGCTCTCCTTTCACCATGTGGGTCCAGGGAATCAAATTCAGGACCCCAGGTTTGGGGCAAACACCTTTACCTGCTGAGCCATCTTGCTGGCCTAGGTGTTATTTTTGAAACAGGGTCTCATGTAGCCCAGGTTGGCCTTGAAAGCTGGTCTTGAACTTCTGTTCTTCCTGCCTCTATTTCCCAAATACTGGGATTGCAAGAGTGTCCCAACCGTGCCAGGCTTAAAGTCTTTTTCTTGAGACAGAGTCTCATGTAACTGAGACTGGTCTTGGACTCACTATTTAGCCCAGGCTGGCCTTGAATTCACTTCAGGTGACTTTGTCCCTAGATCTTCATGTTACAAACTGTTAGAAATCTCATAAATACTTTAAAACTCGAACATCTTGGGGCAAATTCGGGAGTCTTTTGGTTTCTCAGAAACCTGTTATCTTGACACTAGATGAGGTGGCTCTGCAGGTGCACTAAGGGGGCAGCTGCCCTTCCTCCAGGACTCTTTAAGAGCTAGGAGGGGCCCTGAATCCCGGCTCCCTCCACTCTCCCGGCAGGGCCCGCCTGGAGCTTACTGGCACGCGTGGCCGGCCAGAGACGCCTGGCGGCTGGGACCCCGTGGGCCAGCGACGTGCAGCGCGCAGGCGCGTGGGAGCTGCGCTTCTCGTATCGCGCGCGCTGTGAGCCACCAGCCGTCGGAACCGCGTGCGCGCGCCTGTGTCGCTCGAGCAGCCCCTCGCGGTGCGGCCCGGGACTGCGCCCCTGCGCGCCCTTCGAGGACCAGTGCGAGGCCCCGGGTGAGTCTTGCCTGCAACTCCATCCCCGGCTCACCCCGCCCCTTCTTGCTTCCTCGCGGACCCAGTCCCTTCCCACAAATATCCATCCCCTTCAGGGTGCTGAGCACCTTGGATCCCTTCCTAGCTCCATTCATGATCCTCCACCAACTACCATCATCCACTTAACACCTTTGGGGAAACTGAGGACCGTAGAGTTCTCTCTAGCCTCGTCCCCTCTTAGCATTCTTGTTGTCCCAAATAGGAACCCCACACCCATTTCCTATGTCGGTGCCTTCCATTTTTCTTCCTCGATTCACACCCCTTTCTTGAGGCTAGGACCCCATAACTCTTCCAAGTCTGGGACCCTCCTGATTTGCACCTAGTAGCTATGGAAACATTTCTCCACCGCCCCCCCCCTTTCCCCAACACTCCCATCTGCCCAAGAGATTCTTTCTCCCTGAGATTGCAGGCTAGAACACTTTGCTTTTTATTTTCGTTTATTGCTTTTGAAGGTCTGGGGATGGTACTCAGGGCTGTAAGCATGCTAGATGACTGGTCTATTATGGATCTATATCCCCCAGACCTATACTGCGGGTTTTTTTGTTTGGTCGGTTTTTTTGTCTTTTTGAAGCAGCATCTCCCTGTAGCCCCAGCTGCCCTGGAACTTACTATGTAGACCAGGCTGGCCTTGAACTCACAGAGATCTGCCTGCCTCTACCTCCCAAGTGCTGGAACTACAGGCATGCACCACCACACCCGGCTCTTACACTGCATTTTTAATATTCTTGTTTTTGTTTGGTTTTGATTTTAGATACAGGGGTCTCCCTGTAGCCCTGGAACTTGCTTTTTTTTTTTTTTTCTTTTGGTCTTTTTGAGACAGGGTCTCCCTGTAGCCCCAGCTGGCCTGGAACTCACTATGTAGACCAGGCAGGCCCTGAACTCATGGAGCTCCGCCTGCTTCTGTCTCCAGAGCGCTGGGATTAAAAGCACACACCACCACATCCGACTTTGGTTTTGAGACATGCTCACACTATGTAGCAGAGGCTGGTCTTGAACTGTTGATTCTCCTGCCTCAGCCTCCTGAATGCTGGGGGGTTACAGGTGTGATTCATCATGCCCTGCTCCCCTATTGCTTTTTAAAGCTCACCAGAAATTTCAGAGTACTACCAATGTTCCTGGGACTCCAAGTTAATTCAATTCTTTCCAAACCTGCTCTAATCCAAAGCCTGGAGCCTAACTCCAGGGCCAGGTCAAAGTTCACCCCTCCTCCCTAGAGGAGCATCAGACTCACAGGCAGCTGCCTGGGTTCAAATTCCTCATCCCTTCACTTCCTAGCAGTATAGCTCACTTTGCCTCTCTGGGCCTCAGTTTCCCTGCCTGTGAGCTGGTACCATCTCACCTAGCGGGTTGTCTTTTGGAAGCATAAAACAAGGTGGCATGAGAAAGGCATTCCAAAATCTGCTCCTGTCACCCTGAAGGGGCCTGCTCTGAGTCACATCTTGTTCTCTCTGCCTTTCTCTCCCCTGCTCCCCACAGCAGTATGTCGAGCAGGCTGCAGCTCCGAGCATGGCTACTGTGAACAGCCGGATGAGTGCCAGTGCCTGGAGGGCTGGACTGGGCCCCTCTGCACGGTCCCTGTCTCTGCCAGCAGCTGCCTGAACCCTGGGGGCTCAGCTTCTGCTAGCACGGGATGCCTGGTACCAGCGCCTGGGCCCTGTGATGGGAACCCATGTGCCAACGGGGGCAGCTGCAGCGTCAGTATCCCTCTCCTACCTTATCTTTTAAATTTTTTATTTATTTATTTGGTGTGTGTCTATGTGTGTCACAGCACAGGAGTGGAGGACAATCTATAGGAGTCTGTTCTCTCCCTCCATTATGTGGGTCCCAGGAAGCCAACTCAGGCTATTAGGCTTGGCAGCAAGCACTCTAACCTCATTTTGATTACAATTTCTTTGTGTGTGTGTGTGTGTGTGTGTGTGTGTGTATGCAATATGTATGTGCTTGCATGCAGAGACCAGATAAAGACAAGGGTGTCTTTCTCTATTGCTCTCCACCTTTTTTTTCCAAGTTTTGAAAATTTATTTATTAATGTATTACTTACTTTTGTGACAGGGCCTCACTATGTAGACCAGACTGGCTTCTAATTCACAGAGATCCGACTGCCTCTGCCTCTCAAGTGCTGGGATCAAGGCGTGCACCCCTACGCCCAGCTGATTTATTTTAATGTGTCAGTGTTTTTCCTGTATGTAAGCGCACCCATGTTGTGCAATGTCCAAGGATGCCAGAGGAGGGTGTCGGATCCCCTGGCAACTGGAGTTACAGATACCCATGTTAGCTGCCATGTGGGTACTGGGAACCAAAGCCAGGTGCTTTGGAAGAGCAGCCAGTACTCTTATATGCGGAGCCATCTCTCTAGTCCCTCCATCTTATTTTCAGAAACAGAGCCTCTCACTGAACCCAGAGCTCGTAGTTTTGGCAAGATCAGCTGGCCAGTCTGCCTGTCACAGCTTCCCATAGGGATCACAGATGTATGCACCATGCCTGGCTTTTTTGTGAGTGCTGAGGATCTGACCTTGGGTTCTCAAGTTTGCACAGAAAGCACTTGACCCACTGAGCCATCTTCTGGCTTTGAACTCCTGATTCTCCTCTCTGCCTCCTGATGGCTGGGATTAAAGGAGTGCCTGATCTCATTAGAACTTTACCTTGGGAGTACCCGGGGTACTGCAGGCTGGGAAGAAGCCAGAGAGAAGTGCTATCAGAGAGGCCTTCCTGAAGGTATCCAGCCTGCATCAGTGACTGCAAAGTAGGATTTGGTGATAGGAAGGGGTTGAAGAACAAAAACCAAGTAGGTGATACCACAAGGTGTGGGAGTGGCACTGGTGAAGTCCTGTGTGGCCACTGGGTGTTGAGGGTGTGGGATCAGGACACATGGAGGATGAAGGCATCAGAGAAAGCTTCCTGGGGACTGGCCCAAGGCTGGGCCAAGGGGAGGTGACAAGAAAGGTGACTGGATTGATGGTATGGAGGGAAAAAAAGGAACAGTACTGAGAAGGAGCTTGATGCGATATACTGGGAGGGAGGAGAATCCAGTGCCAACTGACTTTGATGCCATGGGTGAGAACTAAGGGTCAGGTTACAGAGAGGGCCTGGGAAAGGGAGAGCAATGCACCTTCATTGCTGAGGATGTAGCTCAGTGGTAGAGCCCCTGCCTAGACTCCCCCAGTGAGGGGCTGGGGTGTGGCTCAGTGGTAGAGCCCCTGCCTCGACTCCCCCAGTGAGGGGCTGGGGTGTGGCTCAGTGGTAGAACACCTGCCTAGAATCCCCCAGTGAGGGGCTGGAGTGTGGCTCAGTGGCAGAGCCCCTGCCTAGACTCCCCCAGTGAGGGGCTGGGGTGTGGCTCAGTGGTAGAGCACCTGCCTCGACTCCCCCAGTGAGGGGCTGGGGTGTGGCTCAGTGGTAGAGCCTCTGCCTAGAATCCCCCAGTGAAGGGCTGGGGTGTGGCTTGAGTTAGGCACTTGGTTAACATTTGGAAAGCCCTGGGTTTAATCCCTAGCAATAATATAAAATAATAAAATAATAATAATAATAATACTTTGAGTGGGGGCTGGGGATATAGTTCAGTAGTTGATTGCTTGCCTAGCATGTGTAAAATGCTGAACTTGATCTCAGGCAGGAAAGAAGCCTTCATTGGGTATTGTGGTGGCTCATTCTATAATCCCAACACTTGAGACATTGAGGCAGAAGGATACTGAGTTCCAGGCCAGCCTGAGCTCCATAGGGAGACCCGATCTTTAAAAACAAAATGTTTTTGTGGAGGAAGTGGTCATAAAACTTGGACCCAGAATAGGGTGTGTGCATATGGGTTCAGGGTGGGTAGAGCAGGCGGGTGGCATTATGGTGGCAGATGTGGTGGAAACAGCTCTCTGGGCTTTCAGAACCTCTTCCCCATGGGGTTTCAAATTCAGAAGCAACAGCATGGGCTGTGGGGGTGGCCTATCTGAGGAGCACTCCTGGCAAGGTCCTGCATCCTGAGACTTGGGGCTGGAAAAAGAGCTGCCCTTAGCAGTAAAGGAGGAAGAGGAGGAGGGGATTTGTCTCCAAGGGGCCTCCAGCCCAAAGTCAACTTGCCTCTGTCTAGGAAACACCCAGCTCCTTTGAATGTGCCTGTCCCCGGGGATTCTACGGGCATCGATGTGAGGTGAGCGGGGTGACATGCGCAGATGGACCCTGCTTCAATGGTGGCTTGTGTGTTGGTGGAGAAGACCCTGAGTCTGCCTACATCTGTCACTGCCCACCCGGTTTCCAAGGCTCTAACTGTGAGAAGAGGGTGGACCGGTGTAGTCTGCAGCCATGCCATAACGGTGAGGTGGGAAAGCCAGAGTGGCCAAGGGTGGGGTGGCATGGGAGTGGGGATCTTGCATGGTTCAGCCAGCCCTGGATCAGAATCCTGTCTTTATTCCCTGGGTAAACTTGGGGCTTGGGGATATGGCCCTTCTCCCTCTGTCTAGCCAGTTCTGTGACACAGGATATTGTTCACTGCCTTCTTAGAACTGATATGGAAGGTGGTTGTGCCCAGTGTGTTGTAGGTCATCAGGGAGGCCAGTGTGGTTGGAGCAGATGACCCAAGAAGATTGGTGAGAGATTATGTCAGACATATGACAGGGGCAGACCTTTGAGACCTACTGGGCAGAGGTGGGAGTTGTCTTGCTTTTTTCTTGGGTAAGATGGAGCCATAGGAAGGTCCTTTTTTAAAAAAATATGTTTCATTTATTTTATGTGTATGAGTGTATTGCCTGCATGTGTGTAAGTGCACCCGTGTTGTGCAGTGCCCACGGAGGTTAGAAGAGGGCATCAGATCTCCTGGAACTGGGGCTACAGACAGTTGTTAGCTGCCATGTGGGTGCTGGTAATCAAACCTGGGTCCTCTGCAAGAGCAGCCAATGCTCTTAGCCACTGAGCCATCTCTCCAGACCCAGTAAGAAGGTTCTAAGCAGGGGAGAGCCCTGATCTGACTCAGGTGTTAAAAGATTATGTAAGGTCAAACTGGGTGTAGTGCACCAAGCCTGTACTCCCAGTACTTTGGGAGGCAGAGGTAGGAGGATCAGGAGTTCAAAGCCATCTTGGGCTACTTTGCAAGTTGGAGGCCTGGTTGGGCTACATTACTGATTTTTTTTTTTTTTTTTTTTTTGGTCTTTTTGAGACAGGGTCTCCCTGTAGCCCCAGCTGTCCTGGAACTCACTATGTAGACCAGGCTGTCCTGGAACTCACAAAGATCCGGCTGCCTCTGCCTCCCAAGTGCTGGGATCAAAGGCATGCACCGCCATGCCCTATGCTACATTATTGACTTAAAAAATTTATTATTATTTTTTTATATTTTATTTAAGCAACTTTAGGGCCGAGTTCATTGGCCAACTTCAGAGATCACTGGGTAGAGCAAGGTCTTGGATCAGTTTGGTCCCAAATGTAGGAGCTTTCTGTTCCCTGGTAAGAGGATATACCATTCTGTTAGGAGGCCTGCACAATAAGCAGTTTTTGTTGTCTGGGGAAGGGTGTGATCCCGTCTCTGTGTTTTCACATTCTTGCTGCATCTTACCATTTTACCTCCTTAAAGTGTTTTTTAGAAATTTATTATTATTTTTAATGTGTATGAGTGTATTGCCTGCTTGTATGTGAGTGCTTCCGTGTCGTGCAATGCCTCGGAGATTAGAAGAGGGCTTCAGATTCCCCTGGAACTGGAGTTAAGGACGGTTCGTAGCCACCATGTGGGTGTTGGGAATCGAACCCAGGTCCTCTGCAAGAGCAGTCAGTGCTCTTAACCGCTGAGCCATCTCTCCAACCCCATTATTGACTTTTTTTAAAAAAAAGTTAAATGAAATCATGAGTATAAAGAGCTTGGCATGGTGGCCCATGCCTTTAATCCCTGCACTTGGGAGGCAGAGGCAGGCAGATCTTTGTGAGTTCGAAGCCAGCCTGGTCTACATAGTGAGTTCCAGGACAGCTAGGGCTACAGGGAGACAACCTGTCTCAAAAAAAAAAAAAAAAAAAAAAAAAAAAAACCAAAAAAAAAAAAAACCTGGTACATCCTTGAATGTGGTATGACCATTCTAAAACACTGTTCTTTAATCCCAGCACTCTGGAGGCTGAGGCAGGAGGATTACAAGTTTAAAGCCGGCCTGGGTTAATATTAAGACTCTGTTCTGTGTGATAGGAGGGACACAGCTGGACTCCCTTCTGCAAGTACCAGCGGTTGCCTTAATCCCAGGGGCTCATCCTCTGCCCACTCTCAGAGCCCAGAGGGGTCAGGGCTATGATGATAGGGCACAACTGCTCTGCGCTGAGATGGTTGGAGGGAGAGTGAGAAAGAGCTTCTGGGGAGTTCAGCTCTTGCAGAGGACCCAGGTTCGATTCCCAGCACCCACATGGGGATCCAACGTCCTCTTCTGACCTCCGCGGACACTGTACGACATGGGTGCACTTACATGTAGGCAATGCACTCATAGACATAGAAAATAAAAACAATAGTTAAGAAAGCTTCTGGAGGAAAGAGTGAAGAGATACAAAGGGTGAACTGAGGTCAGGGTTAGGGGGACAGGAGGGGAAGACGTAGGACTAACGAGGCAGAAGCAGCAGTGCATTGGTGGCTAGCATCTGGGAGAAGGCAGGATTTTAAGTTGCAGGCTAGCCACCGACTGGACCAGACAGGATGGGTTCCAGACAAAATCTGGGGCCAGGGCGCACGGGCGGGGCAGGAGGCGAAAGCCGAGGCTGACCTGTCTTACCCCGCTCCCCGCGCAGGCGGCCTCTGTCTGGACCTGGGCCACACCCTGCGCTGTCGCTGCCGCGCGGGCTTCGCGGGTCCCCGCTGCGAACACGACCTGGAGGACTGCTCGCGCCGCGCCTGCGCCAACGGCGGCACGTGCGTGGAGGGCGGGGGCGCGCGCCGCTGCTCGTGCGCGCTGGGCTTCGGCGGCCGCGACTGTCGGGAGCGCTCAGATCCTTGCGCCACGCGGCCCTGCGCGCACGGCGGCCGCTGCTACGCCCACTTCTCAGGTCTCGTGTGCGCCTGTCCACCCGGCTACATGGGCGCGCGCTGCGAGTTTGCCGTTCGCCCCGACGGCGCAGGCGCGCTGCCCGCGGCCCCTCGGGGCCTGAGGCAGGCTGATCCGCAGCTCTTCCTTTTGCCCCCGGCTTTGGGCCTGCTGGTGGCCGTGGGCTTGGCCGGCGCTGCGCTCTGGTTGGTCCACTCGCGCAGTCGAGGCCTTGGCCGGGATACTGGGGCCCACTTGCTGTCGGGGACCCGGGAGCCGTCGGTGCACACGCTCCCTGATGCACTCAATAACCTGAGGACGCAGGATGGTTCCGGAGATGGCCCGAGGTGAGGACTGCAGCTATGCTTCTATGATTCCTTGATGCAGCTTCCCGATTGGTTCCTCTTACCCTCTTGTGTCCCAGCCCTCTTCTTATTGGTCGTTGCAGACCTGTACAGTCTTGGGTTCCCTTCCCTGATGGGTACGAGAAACAAGAAAGGAGAAATTAGAGGGTCTGACTCTTTCTTCCTTTCCTCCCACAGCTCATTGGTGGACTGGAATCACCCAGAAGATGGAGACCCTCCGTCAATTTATGTCACACCTGCACCTTCGGTCTATGCTCGGGAGGTAGCCATGCCCCTTGTTCCCACTGCATGCCTTGGGCACGTGGGATGGAGGCAACCAGTCCCCGATGCCATTTCTAAATGCTTTCTTGTTTCCTTTCCCAGGCCTGATTTGCTTCTTTTTCATCAGCGCCTGGATACAGAGCCTCAGATTTTTGCTATGTGCTTGGTGGCGTCTGATCTTCTGCCCCACACGCCGATTGCAGTGCAGGCTGGAAAGTGTGGCTGAGAGGACTTTATTGTTGGAAATTGTACATAATGCCTATTTATATCTCAAGTTTCTCTCCCTACCTCTCCAGAGTCGTTTATAAAGGCTCTTATTTTGATCAAATGCATCTGACTGAATACTCTGTGTTTGGAACTGAGGGGAAGAGAGATTTTACCTCCCGAGGTGAATGATAAGATTTTGGATTGTTTTGAGACAGGGTTTCACTTTAGCCCTGGCTGACTTGGAACTTAATACATAAACCAGCTGGCTTCAAACTCACAGAGATCCACCTATTGTTTGCTTTAAGACAGGGTCTCACTTTAGTCCTGGCTGATTTGGGACTTACTACATAGATCAGGCTGGCCTCAAACTCACAGAGATACACCTCCCTCTGCCTCCCCAGTGCTGAGATTAAAGGCATATGCCATCATGTCCAGCGAATAAGGCTTAAAAATTTTTTTAAAAATCTTATGTCTAAGAGTGATTTGTCTGAATACATATGTGCACTATGTGTGTGCAATGCCCACAGAGACTAGAAGAGGGCATTGGATCCCCGGGAACTAGAGTTACAGGGAGTTATGAGCTGCCATGTAGGTGCTGGGAACAAACTCAGTCCTCTACAAGAGCAGCCAGTGCTCTTAACTGCTGAGCCATCTCTCTGGCCTGAAGAATAAGATTAAGAAATTTATTTTTGGTTGAGTGTGGTGGCACACCTTTAATTCCAGCACTTGGGAGGCAGAGGCAGGCAGATCTCTCTGAGTTTGAGGCCAGCCTAGGTCTCCACCATCTGTGGCTACAGGGAGATCCTGCCTCAAAAAGACAAAAAAAAATTTTTTTTAAAAGACAAGGACTTGCTACATAAACTCTGCGTGGCCTGGAACTTTCTATGTAGACCAGACTGGCATCAAATTTGCAGCAATCTTTTCTCTGCCTTTTGCATGCTGGGAATTACAGGAATGCTCCACCACAATGGTCTAGAGTTGGTCATTTGATGGAAGCCCTCACTGAATGTTGTTAGGCTCATTAGTTATGGTGTAGAACAGGAGGATATAGATTAAAATTAGCTAAGGGATCTGGGCATGTGGCTTAGGCCTGTAGTCCCAGCATTCTAAGAAGCTGAGGTGGGAGGCTTATACCTTCCAGGCCAGTTGAGGCTACATGGCAAGACCCTTTCTCAAAGACAGACAGACAAACAAACCAAAACAAATCAGCCAGGGGAAGAGGGGCATGGGCTAGGAGCCAGTCATGCCCCTAGCACAAGCATCTGGGTGTGCATCCTGGGGTCTAGGCTTGGTTGACAGCCCTCTTTGAGGCTGAGCTTGATGCATGCTCCCACCATCATCCAGATTGTTATAGACTGTCTGTTGTGGCCTACGGCTTCAGCTGAGCCCATGACACTTGTCAGGATGCTTCCTGGCTTAAAGATACTGCTAACACTGATGGCTCTTCAGGAAGAGACATTGTCTCTTATGTAACCCATGGCCTGAAACTTGATATGTAGCTGAGAATGACCTTGAACTTCTGATCCTCCTGCCTCTACTTCCTGGGTGCTGAGATTACAGCTGTGTCGTGCCCCCCGCCCCCATGCCTGGTTTATGTGGTGCTAGGGATGGGGCCCAGGGCTTCATGCATGCTATGAAAGCTCTCTACCAACTGAGCTACACCCCATACCTAAAACATCATGGCCTCAGAGTGGAGTCTGGGTGACCTTATGGGGCTACTGTCTCTGGCTCCATCCTTGTCCCCTCTACTTTCTGTGTTCCAGCTCCTAGCCAAGCTTTGTCCCTTCTCCTCCTGCAAACTTCCCATGTATCTAACACGGATTCTGCATCCTTTTCATTAACTCCACAAACATTTATTCAGGAGCTGGGGATACAAGGGTAGAGACAAATCCTCAAGGGAAGCCCTTCTCAGAGTGCTTCAACCCCAGGATCTGCTATCTAGAGTGTGAATCCAGACTTAGCTGCCTACTAATGATGGGCAATTGCACAGCCCCTGATTCTGTGTAAATTGCATTTCTTTGCTGGTTGTTGCTGTTTTCTCTCCAGATTTTGTAGCTGTCTCCTTTTTCTAAGAGGTCCTCTGATTCTGCAGACCAATGGCTCCTCTCAGGAATGGTGCCCATTCTAGTTCTAGTGTCCCTCGTCTCTCTCCTCCAGCTGTGATAGCCTTGGCTGTCACTCTTGATATTGGGTGTGACTCCCTACTCCCTATGGACAGGGAGCCCTGATGGGCAGGGCTACTCAGCCCCCGGAATACCATAAGCACTTAGTGAACCCAGGTGACTAACTCACTAAACTGCAGTGCCAGCAGTAGGTGTGGGAAGCTTGCTCTTTATCCAGGTGATGGAGGCAAGGGGGCGGGGCTTATTCGGTGAGCTCTGAAGGCAGCACCACTTCCCTGGACCAGAGCTCTGGAATCTCCGCTCGAATGGAACCCGGCGTAACAGTGCTCGCTTGTGGACGCCTCCCATTTTAGAACCCTGGGGGTCGAGATGCTCTCCCCGTCCAAGGAAGCAGGCAGGGCGGGGCGGGATGCCCAACCTGGGGTGCTCGGGTTCCCATGAATAACCAGGCTCGGACCCCAGCTCCCTTCCCAGCCCGGCCCTCCACCCGGGTCCCAGGTTCCTTTCAGTCCCGGACACCGACTCTGATCCGAACCTCGACCCCAGTCCGGTCTTCCACCCCGGTTCAAAACCCAACTCTTACCCGAACCTCGACCCCTGTCCGGGCTTCGGCTCCAGCCAGGATCACAGTCAGGTTCCCAGCCCCAGGTCCGGCCCCAGCTTGGGTACCAGCATCAGCCCCAGTTCCGACACTGATCCAGACCCCGGCTTCAGTTAGGTTCCCAGGCCCAGCCCCAGCCTCAGGTCCAACCCCAGCTTGGGCACCAGCATCAGCCCCAGCCGCAGCACTGATCCAGACGCCGGCTTCAGTTCGGTTCTCAGGCTCAGCACCAGCCTCAGGTCGGACCCCAGCTTGGGCACCAGCATTAGCCCCAGTCCCAGCACTGATCCAGACCCCGGCTTCAGTTCGGTTCCCAGCTCCAGCTCCAGCCTCACCCCCAGCCCCAGCCTCACCCCCAGCCCCAGCCCCAGCATCCGTACCAGCATCAGCGCGGGTCCAGACCCCTGCTCGGGTCCGGTTACAAGTCGCACCTCCGGCCCCAGCCCCAGCATCAGCTCCAGCCCCAACATCAGCTCCAGGCCCAGCACCAGCCTGGGCTCCTGCAGCAGGCCGGACCCCAGCGTCAACCGCGGCCCATGAGTTAGCCCCAACCCAAGCTTCAACCTCTGCGGATGCATCAGTCCGGGCTCAAGCTTCAGCTCAGGCTCCTGCATCAGGCCTGGCAGCTACATCAGGCCGGGCCCCTGCATCAGGCCCAGCCCCTACATCAGGTCGGACTCCTGCATCAAGTCGGACCTCTGAATCAAGCTCGACCCCTGCATCTGGCACTGCCCCTGAATCAGGCCGGGTTCCTGCATCAGCCCCGCCCCCTGTATCAGCTCCGGCCCCTGCTTCATTCCCGGCCCCGGCATCAGCTCGGGCCCCAGCTCCAGCACATGCATCAGCTCCGGCACACCCCCGGGTCTTGGCCACGATCCCACCTGTGGAATCCATCTGGACCCCGGCCTCACCTGGGGGTCTGCTCGCAGAGCCTCCTCTTGAGCCGGCTTTCCCTCTCAAGGAGGATCCCGCTCCCAGTCCCAAGCCGTCGGTCCACAGCCTAGCAGAACCCACCGAGGGATCCCTTCCCGCGTTCACTGCCTCGGCCACCAGCACACTGGGCCCCAACCCGGATCCTGCCTCTGGCATAGATTTCCTGGCCACCCAGCCGAAGAATGCCCCGCCTCTGCCCCGGCTTCCCTCGGTCTCCCCATCCGGCAGCTTCGTTTCAACTAAGGAGGTACCCTCCACCAGCGAGAACTTGCAGACAGCCGAAAGAATCTTGATCCGTGTGACATACTGTGAGGACCGGACCTGTTGGGTACTCGGGCTCTGGGCATGTGCAGGCGCAGGTCTGGACTGGACCGAGGGCAGAGGGGACTTGAGTTCTGACTTTCAAGTGGGAAACTCTACTAGTCCTCCTTTGGGGATTAGAGAGCTCGGTGTTCCAACCCCTGTTTTGACTTTGAGCTGCTCTTACTCTCATCCACGTGATTCCTGGCTTTGAGCTTTACTCAGTCCTATCTACTCTTCCATTCGTGAGTACTGACTGAGTTGTGTTCATTCACTTTCATTCATTCATCAATAGGCATTTCCCACCTGGAAGAGTTTCTCACCTGGAAGTCAAAATAGACCCTGATCTTTGTGATTCCTACCTCTCAACTGCATAAATCACTTATTAATTAATTAATGGATTCATGATTCTGGGCTGCATTTGCATTCATTCATTCCTTCCCACTCACCCATTCATTCATCCATTGAATCCTATGACTACTCAGGACTCAGCCTCATTCCTCACTCTTTTTCTTTTTTCTTTCCTTTTTTTCGTTTTTTGGTCTTTTTGAGACAGGGTCTCCCTGTAGCCCCAGCTGACCTGGAACTCACTATGTAGACCAGACTGGCCTTGAACTCACAGAGATCCACCTCTCTCTGCCTCCCAAGGGTGGGATCAAAGGTGCACCACCATTATGCCTGGCTCAAGGACTTTTAAAAACATCAACCAGGGGTTTGTGACACCAAGCACAGGGCAATGAACAAGAAGACAGAAGTCCCTGGCATGCTGATGTGGAGGGGCAGGCAATAAACCATAGTTAGGATGCAGAAGAACTGATCTCGGGGTGACAGAGTGATCAGTGCTATGCACCTTGGGAGGGTCATAGTTTTAGTTGAAATGGTCAAAAAAGAGAAGGAGCCACATGCATACTGGAGAAGGAGCATTCTGTAGAAAGAACTACCAGTGCAAAGGCCCTGGGGCAGGGTATACCTGCAGTATTGAAAGACCAGCAAGGAGGGTTCCATGGCTGGGGCAAGATGGGTGAGTTTAGGGGTAAGGGGTGATGAGGAAAGTTCATGTGGGTGCTCTCATACCACAAAGGTGATGGATGGTGGTTTCTCCCTGGAATGGAACTTCTGGGAGTTCCAAGCAGGGCAGGGATGGGATCTGTGTCGGACATTGGTAGGCTTACCACTAACATGCTATCTTCCCTATTTCTCTCCTCCTGCCCTCTGACTCCAGTGGCCTCTGAAGCTATGGCCTTTGGGTAAGTAGTTCTGGCCTTGGATAGTAGGGAGCCTGTGGCATGAAGACTAAGG